AGATGCATCAAAAAAATAACTATTTTGTCACATGAAATTTGATATATCAAAAAAATAACCATAAATATATCAAAAACGATACCTTTGCCGTCAGGATACATTGAATTATCATGTGATTATCCTAAATTTATTGAGACTGATTGGCTTAACTTTCCACTTGTTCTGCGCAGACCGCGACACTACTGACAAATCACTTATTATTCCATTTTTAGAAACTTTTTATTCTGATTTTTTTGCATCGGAAGTATATTATCCAATCTATTTTATATGATAAATGGTACTTCATCTAATTAAATCAGGTAAAATTTCATTTCAATATGCAGTAAGATCTATGCAAGCATTTTGCTAATCGTGTTGTTTATATTTTTAGTTTTATTAGTCCTACAAATAAGCAGTATACTCTATTCGAAAAAAGACTAGAGTATTATTATGCAAAGTGCCTTCGGCTAAATCACTCATATAATCAAAGAATATTGATGATCATTAACAATGCACCTCATCTAGAAAAGATGAAATTTACGTCAATGCTCCGCAAGAATATTCATGCGAATCTTCTGATATTTTTTATAAATACCCTGCCTATTTTCCTTTCATTTTGATCTACATTATAGGAGAAAGGTCTGATGACCTCAAATCGAACTGCACCACAAACGAGAAGTAAACGATATATTAGACAAATGTATACGTCTATTCATTATCCTTCGGTTGTTCATAGTGGTTAAAGTTAATGGATAGATATCAAATTTTCGCATTGAAGTATCTCAAAAAATTTTCACAAACACATTTCTCCGTTTGCTCTAGCAATAGAGAAGATAGTTATCAGAGGTAAGGTCCCAAAGGGATGAACCTAGTCGGCTGTTATTCTTATTTCACCGAGTTTACTTATTATTTTCTAATCCAAGAACAATGGAATTTTATGTAGTTTAACCTTTGTAACAAGTTGCTTAGAAACAGATGTATTTTTTTATTAATAAACATATTTTCACTTTACAATCTGGCATATACGAAAAAAAATAATACTCGAACATTTTGTGATGTTGTGGGGTTATAGGGTTGTGGGACACTAACTTTTTTCGTCTCTATGTATAAGCGCTGGTTTGGATCTTAACAATTTTCTTTTTTCAGAAATAAGGGATATACATGATGTCACAACGTTTTCAGCCAAATGTCACAGATCTATATTTCGATGTTATTCCATTTCTACAAGCATCGATGGCTAAATATTAAATCCATGCCATCTAAGCGTATATATAAAGAATCACAGATCAGTTTTTGACAAGCAAACGCCTCACTATAAAAAAAATAATAATAAAAATTAACGCAAAACCAATCTAATTTTTTTTTGTTTCACACTTGCTTCACTCTAAAATTATGTCTGCACTCACCTTGCAAAGCAGCGCCTTATGACACTCCAGCTTCACATTTTTTGTTCTCTTGTCCTTTGCTAGCGCATATTTCTTGTTTTGTCTAATCAGAAACAATTTTCCAATGAACTCTCCGATCATATCACTAAAATTGCCAATGCAAAAAATAATACAACTATTACTGCGAAGATCGAGAGAATCTTTTCTGAAATCAGTGGTAAACTTACCGCAGAACTCAATGCGAAAATCTCCAATGAATATCCACGCGTGACACTAAAATCGCCAACGAATTCTTCGCACGTCTTTCTGAAGTTAATTCTACTTCCACTCCGAAGCTCGGTAGAATCGATAATGAACTTAATAAGAAACTTAACGAAGAAGTTAATGCGGGGTTTGACAAATCAATAACGAAACTTACCGAGGAAATCTCTAAAATCAATTTGGCTATGCTTCTGAGGTGCAGAGAATTTCATCGATGGTCAATAATATCGAAGAAGCCTGCCGTAATGATTTTGGCAGAATTAGATCTCTAGAGAAATCCGTTGCAACCAGATTTGTGGCAATTGATGTTGGTATCAAAGCTCTCCAAAACAAAATAAATCAAATTTATGCGGATGTCAAAGACCTGATTTTGATCAACTAAGCGTGTCCAATGGATCTGAAGTTAGTTCATGAAGCTCTTCAACTAATTCATCTTCAAGCTCTCTGGGTTCTTCTGGTTCTTCTGGTAAGATAAAAACAGAATATTTCTTGATAATCGATGCTTTATATATTAGGGAAGTTTGACTAACATTTTTTGATTACAGGATCGAGCCAAAAATTCGCAAATATCATTTTTGTAATTCGGCAATAATTGTTGATTTAACTATGTGTTTGGAAAATTATACATTAGATCAGATGTGTAGTATTATGTCCGTTGAAATTCTTAAAACTTGGGATGGGAAAACTTGGAAGTGATATACAATAAAAAGTTTTTAACATGGGGCTAATGTAAAAAGCGAAAACTTGGAGAAAATAGGTGCTTGGGTAGATAGTAAATCCGAGAAGTAGCGGGGTATATGGGTTAGGGCTCGGAAAATTGTTCCCTTGAAACATCCTGCTACTCTATTATTTTTTACTTTCATTTTTACTTAGTCGGCCACCCTTTCTCACGTATAAAGATTTTACTTTGAATTTTTTAAACGTGTTGTGTGTTTTACAAATGATATTAAATATTTTTTAATTTTTATTAATTACATTTGCTTTCATATTCTACTAGGATAGACGTAGGCGCTTCGCAAAGTTTTATTTACAGTGATCGGATCCAAAACAATACATAAAAGCAAAATATACTATATCTACCATCCCACAAAAGTGGAAGTATTATTTTCAGCCATGAAAAAATAATAGCTAAAACAAACATCATTATTAACACAGATTAATTTTCGTCTGAACCGGAATCAGCACCACCGTAATTAATTATGACATTAATTATATTCGCGTTTTGCGAAAAGGAAGGGATGGTAGGTGTGACGGGCCTAGAGATTGTTGGGGTTTCAAAGGATGGCGTCGTTGTCTTGATGTAACGGGGGAAAAATAAGAACGTGTGATTGATTTTCTCTCCGGAGAGGAACTTGTTTGGTATGTACTTGATGAAGACGAATAGGCCCTATTTAATCTTCTTACATTTTCGTCGTGAGCTTGATCAAAAGACGATTCTAATTATATTAAATCGTGTTAATTTTTTGAGTGAACAACCCATTTATTTCCCAGAAACATAATTACTTCGCTTCACCAGAACTCCGTTGAAAATTCATCATATAAATTCTCCCCAATCAAACTTTTTTTATTCCCAGTTCCCTCTCTATATTTTTTCGTGGGCCAATAAGTAATAAATAGTAATAAGTATATTGGCCAACCGAATTTCTTATAGAACTCAAACACTAACTTACGCAAAAGCTTTAGTGAGACTTAGAAATTTATTATGACATTCATCACCCAAAAAATAATTTGTATTTTCCTGTTCATTTAACTTATCAGCGATATCTTCCCAAAAATCCTTCTTCTATTCGGGGTGGCATGGTATTCGGAATTTCTTTGTTTTCGCTCATTGATAAGAAGGCGAAGCTGAGCGTCAGACCAACTCGGTTGATTTTTTTTACATGGTAAAAGGATTCTTAAGGGAATGGATGCCTGTTTTATTGAGTGATTTGTTAGACTATTCAGTGATCAATATAATGATTAATCGAATAATAACGGCAGCTTAGCCATTTTATATAAAATCAAGGAATTGGCGGATCATTTCATGATTTATAGAAACTCGAGATCTCATGTGACATAAACTTTATAGTTTAGCCGTCCATAACGCCGAATCTGTGAAGTTCTCCGCAGTTGCTCGAAAGTATACATTTTTTTTACGCAAATTTCATTGAGAAGTATACAGTATAACTCATTTTCTCGGTCACTTGGACATTAAGAAAGTTTCATAATCGAAACAAGAATCTCGCTTTATTTTATGAAATAAAAAATAATTGTAAATATTGATATTTTTACATTTTTACATGAAAAATCAAAAAAATAATGGATAATAACATTGAAATTTTTCTATTATAACGTCGAATTACTGTATGTTAATAAAAGGGAGAGAAAACATATTGATACAAAGAGCTCTATAACCATTAAATGAATTCAATACGCTAATATGATTTCCATTACATTCATCTCTGGTATGATAAACCAAGATAGGGTTTGTAGAGGAATTAACTTTGACTACGGTTGAATGCCTCCAATTAAAATTCCCATGATAATATAGAATGACATCACCCGCTTGCAATTCTTCAAGTTTACACACTCTTGCCAACTGATTTTCAATAAGGTAGTTATAGAGTTTATCCGCAACCGTCCATGTTTTTGTAAATATAAATTCATGATTTCTATCACAGGTGATAGGATAAGGAATTCTCCCAGGCCAACATGTATCATTAAAACGCTTACGTCTACACCACCATTTGGCAGATTTAGGAATACCACCATAGTGTAAAACTTGCGAAACAAAGTTGGTACAATCATTACCAAGTGTACGTGGATAGTTTGGATTATAACTATTACTATCACAATGACTTATTGCATAATTGACCGCTTTTTGTCTATCATAGATATTGGCGTAACAAGTAAAGTTAAAATACAAAACAATTATTGCGAAAATTAACTTGAACATCGCAAGAATATTTTGAGGTGTTATTGTATAGAATTAGATGTTTAAAAGGAATGAATGATGTTTAAATACCTAATTGGGTCGTGATCAATAAATGAAGATCATATAGTTATATTTTTACGAATCTATGAGAAAAAAATCTGGTTCTTTGAACAAGGGCGTGAAATGAATCCTATATTATTATAGTATAAGTTGATAAAGAAACGATATAAATCGCTAAAAACGCTATAATCACTTAAGTTGCTATAAACATCTTATAAAATGGTTAGAAGTGACTATCAATATGGTCTAAATCCTGTAGTAGTGAAGCATTAGCAATCTCCATTACAGATATAGTGATGAAACGCCAAAAATGTGGTGTTCCCGTATTCGTGTTCCGTTTAGAAAACTTCTTGAATATAACCCTAAATTTAGATAATTAAATCTAAACAATATTTTTTAAAAGGATGTAATAGACTAGAAAATCCATCATATAATTAAAAAATACACAAATGCGATCACATGTGCGATTTTAATTGTCATCATAGGATTTCGGTGAAGTGTATCTCAACTTTTATGTTTAATTAATTTCGTAATAATGATGATTTTTTGTATAAATTTAGATGTGACGTTTGTTTGTTTGTCAAGCCTCCAATTAGTAATTAATTTTCATGTGGATTTTTTAATTTGATTTGATTTTGCATTTACGTAGTTAATGTTTTTTTCGTGTGAACTTTTTTGATTATAAAAATTTTGCATTTTTTAGTTTGGAGGATTGACAAAAGTAATTCATAGAATTGAGTGAATTTTTTTTATTATTATTTAAATTGGAGATTTGACAAAAAAAAATGGGTTTATTATATTATTTAATTTTGAATTATTTTGTTATCTTGTAACCTTTGGACATGATTTTAATTTTGAATTGAATTGAATTTTTTTAATTGAATTTGATTTTGAATTTTTGACAAATTCAAATGTGAATTTTTTTAATATTTTAAAAAAAATTATTTAATTTTTTGATTTTGAATTTTTTTTTGAATTTTGATTTGATTTTGATTTGAACTTTTAATTGAATTTTTGATTTTAAATTTAACTTGAATTTTTAATTGTAAAGATGTATTTTAGACATACAGTATATGGATTCACAAATGTGATTTTTTTTTAAAAAAAAATGTATCAAATTTAGAGTTTTTTTTAATATTAGAAAAAAATGTATTTAAATATATATTAATAATTAGATTACATTAGGAAATTTATTAAGTGTGTATTTTTTATCATTTGTTTTGATTTCTCTTACACAATTTGAGGCACAGAGTGATTTTCTAATAAGATGTTTTTAAGATAGATAGAATGGCCTTGTTCTTAGCTACAAATTGGTGTATGTTTCATTCTTCAAGCATCAATATTTGTAAAGATCATATGGCTTAAAAAAAAATGTTTTAAAGATGCAAAATCATGTGAAAATTGGTATATAATTTAAATTTTTACTTGATATTTCACAAATGATTTTCTTAAACTATATGATCTCTACAAATATCAATACTACATGAATGAAATATACACCAATCTGTAGTTAAGAACAAGGCTGTTCTATCTATCTTAGAAATACTTTAATAGAAAATTATTCTATCCTTCAAAAATTGAAAACTAAATCTAATAAAGAATTAGTAATCTTATTTTTTTAAAAACAATACTTCATTGTTTATTTCTTATGTAATATAAAAAATTATACACTAGTATTAATATTTATTGATTTTTTATATAATAAAGAATTAATAAATTTAACACAATTAAATTATTGTTACAAATCTGTTTTGGCTAATTTCATTTTTATCACATGAAAAAATTTATTTTCTATTAAACACAATAGTTTTATTATCTAATTGTTTCAAAAAATTTTATTAGACAAAGGTTTTTTTTTTGACTTCATTTACAATTTGCAAGGCATAGAATGATTTTCTACTAAAATATTTTGAAAATGATCTTGTTTAATAGAAAATATTTTATTTTAAAAAGTTGTCAAAAATATTTATTTAATATATATTATTTTTTATATTAATCATTCAATAATTTTTTTTTTTAAAAAAAATAAATATCATATGCATGTAATAAAATAAATAAATGATTTTTTTAGTTAAAAAATTAATTATAAAAAAAGGAAAATTATTTTCTTTTTTTCAAAAAGAAGTGATTTTTCTTAAAAAAAACTTCAAACTATTTATTATTTATGTTAAATAAATATAAAAATCATTTTTTGTTTTTTTAATTAATAAAAGGTTTATTGTTATAGTAACAAATTACTACAATAAGATTCAAAGTTATGAGATACACTTTGAAATATATTCAATTTGTTTTTTTAACAATTATGATTATTGTATAACTTTAGAAAATACTTGTAATCAAAATAATTATTGAACATTGTTACCAGTAGTTCCTGATTTTCTTGAAGACAAACCAGTGAAGTGACTTAATGGTTCTTGTAACAAATCTACTAATTCATTAATTTATAAATAAGAAAATAAATAACAACAACTATTTATTAAACACAGAAATAATATCAACAAATATTATTCCAACAAAAATAGATTGTATTTAATTAATTAACAAGAACTTGCTTGCCTCTTTATTATCCATATGCTATTTATATAAAAATACATAATTATTGTTACATAATATAAATATATAATAAATAATATCTTAGGTCTTACAAGACCAATCCAGATGGTTGCATATGATAAAATATATATAAAAGAAAATATGAATAAATAAAGATAAATAATTAACAAATGAAATTAACTATATTGTAAATCTATTGTATATTAATATTAATTACATATGTTATCATTTACTATCAAAATAGAAAGATAAAAGTAAAAAGAATAAAATAGAAAATAAAAATAAAAAGAATAAAATAAAATAAAATAATAAAATAAGTAAGTGTCATCAACTACATAAACTAAAGTATAGTCAAAACTTTTACACTCTCCTCTTCTTAGAATTCAATGTTCTCATGAATTCTCAAACATAGCTACCATATTTGTAGCATTAGTTGAATTTCCTTTGGACTTCCATATAGCATTATGCATAAGGTGGCCTTTCCATTTAATCAGATAGAAGGGTTTTTTATGTATTAACTTTTTATCTAAAATACTTTCAACTTCATATTCCTTTTCATTAATTTTGGAAATAATTTCAAGTGGTGGTGAAATGTCATGGTTAAAGTTGGTTAAGTTTTGTTTATAAGGTTTTAACATGGATATGTGAAAAACAGGATAGATTTTTAAATTATGAGATAATTTTACTTTGTATGTAGTTGTTGAAACAACTTGTTCAATGATATACAGTTCTATAAATTTAGGTATAAGTTTGCAAGTTGGACAGTTAGATTGTATAGGGTAAGTTATGTTTATAGTATTTATCAATACTTAATTTCCTTTTTGGAAAGTTACTTTGTGTCATTGTTTATTTGCATATTATTGTTGTCATTCCTGTGCCAGTTGTAAATTATTACAGGTGATTTTAATTGTGTTTTTCCATTTTAACAATAATTCATCCATAATGGTGACATTGGTTGGTTTATCCAAAGAAAGTGAGAGAGGAGTATTAGGGTGTTGACCATTATCAATTTCAAAGGAGATATGTCTAGTTGAAAGGTTTTGCAAATTGTTGTATGCAAATTCAACAGCAGGTAATAGTTCATTCCAATTATTTTGTTGATAATTGATATACACTCTCAACATTTCTTTCATGGTTCAGTTTAAACTTGTAGGTGAATTACTGTGTGATGGAGATAATCTAGTTTGAGTTGATTCAACTGGTAATACTGGTTGTAATATATCACTTCACAGTAGTAAAAAAGATGATGTTTGATATGATAAGTCACTTAAAGAAAAATAGGGTTAGGTAATTTCATTATTTTGATAAAGTCGATAATATTGTCTCCTAACAGATATAGATTGAGTAGATGGAATAGATGTATTGGTATTTGTATTTGGTTACAAGTAACTTTAGTAATGTCAATTGGTATTATTCCTTTTACTTAAGAATTTTTCAATTACGTTTGATTTGCTTTGGTATATTGACAAAACTGTGTCCATTATCAATTAAAATGTTATCACGAATTCAAATGTGATATTCAATTTGTTCAAGATGAGCTTTAATAATATTTAAGTCTTTAAGGCTGTGAACAATTTTGTAGTTCTAATCTTTTTCCTGTTTCACGATTAGCTATCTCAGAAACAGCTTGATCTTTTAATTCAATAGCTTTTTAAACACAAGCATTTTGTGTTTTTGCTGAAACTATAAATTAAAACTAGAAGAAATACTATAACTAACTATAAACTAAGATATAATATATATAAGAAATAGATTATATGGGATATAAAAGAAAAATAATAATTTAATAAAATTGAAACTAAGACTAAATTGTAATTTTTTTTTTTTAACTGGATCTCACAGTTACTATTAAATTGTTGACTGTGATCTGACCTTCAAGGAATACAATTAACTATTAGCTAAAGATACAGTAGCTAAACTAAATATATTATTATTAACTAATTTATACTACAAAAAATATGATGTTTAAAGGATTTAAATATTACAGATTTGTTCAAAAAAAGCAAGGTTATGAGATTTTCACTGGTCAAAAATTGATAAATTATACACATATCGGGTATATGGTATGTTCCTAATATCAAATATATATTGGGTACCCGATAGTTGTAGAAAATATTTTTTTATACTTATCGGATATCCGATATATAAATAAAATATTTTCTACAACTATCGGGTACCTGATATATGTCTGATATTAGGAACATACCATGTACATATCAGGTACCCGATGTATACGTGTTGTCCAAATCCCAAATTACTAGTATTTGGGATTTGGGATTTGGGATTTCGGCAAAAAATACTAATCATAATTTGGGATTTGGGATTTGGGATTTCGGCATTTGGGATTTCGGCATTTGGATTTTGAATTTGGGTGGCAGGTATAACCCGATGTGTATATGATTTATCAA